TTCATTCTGCTGAATATGATATTCTTGAAATCTCATGGATATTCTTTGTGTCATTTTTAAATATTTCTGTAAGCAGTGCTCTGAACAGGTAGTCTGGAAATAAAAAAAGGAAGATCCAAAAAGTCAAAACAAAAATACCAATTTTAAAAAATGTTTTATTTCAAAAGAACAACTAGTAGGTATTAATGTATAGCAAATGATCATAGCTTTCAATGATCGATATTCCCATTTATTGACAAGTATGAATATATACTGAATGCCTACCAGTTTGCTATGCATTAAGAACAATGGTAAGCAAACTCCTGCCTTCATGAAGTTTCTTGTCTATTTTTCCTCCAGGCATGTTGTAATGTTGACCAAAAGTCCACATTCCCAATCCCTTTTTTGATTGTTAAAATATAAGCCCAGTAATGATTTTAAAGAGAAAATCGTTCTCAATTAAATTCTTTTATTTTTTTTTAACAAGAATATTACACTTAGCATGTAATAAGTATTTACTGATTGCTGATCATATGCCAAGCTGTATGATATTTAAATTTTCCATGGATAAAAATCTTTATGTCATTTTGAACTGATGTATAAATGTTTTAATGAGGAATATTAAAAGGTAACACTGTACCAGGATTGAGATTTTGGATTTCACCTATGTAATATGAGCCTCCAATTCAAGCTCTGTTCTTTCCTGAGTTCCCAGAGTCAGACAGCAGCAAGGCCCTATCAAGTTTCTATAGCCAGTCCCTCCTGACAGAAAGGTAAGGAGGACAAACATATGCAGTGGAATAGGAACTCAGTCCCAGGCATCTTGTCTAAAAGGTATGTCTAGGTACAATGTGACTGTCATATTAAACTTGGCATTGTTAAAATCGATGCCTGGGTCCCTGGCAGCTTGTTTCTTTGAGAAAAGGAACATAAAAAGGTTAGCCAATTTCCTATCATTGGGAATAAGCAAAATGTTTAGGGGAATCCTATTTGTATTATTTATCAAAAATTTAGAGAAATATTAGCAGGTAACACCTTTCATACCTCTTCTGGTTTTACTTCTCTTGTTGTGAAGTCTTTAACACAATCCAAAAAGCAGGTTTCTGTAAGTTTATTGTAGGTTCCAAGAAATTCCTTAAACTACAAATAAATGAGAAAGTTCTTTAACATACCCCCCCCGTTTAAAATTACGGTGAAAATATGTACAACACAACATTCAGCAATTCAACCATTTCTATCTATACATTTCAGCGACACTGATTCTATTCTTCAAGTTGTGCAACCCTTCTTGCTATGTTTTTCCAAATTATCCCATCACCAGGTAATGTTTGGTTTTTTAAAGCAAGTATGTGTTGAAACTTAATTACTAATGTTTTATATTTAAATACTACAATCCTGTAATACTTGACATCATAGGTTCTTTTGTTAATTTAAATGAATGTAGAATACAAAGCATAGTTTAGTTTTTGTTTTTCCCTTGATTATCAGATGCAAAATATACATGCTTTATATCATTTAGCTGTTCAGTTTGGAAAGGAAATGTATTTCTTTTGTGAAATCGTTCATTGAGATGGTTGCACCCAGTTGTTAAGTGTGTGGCATCGACTCTGACCCATAGCAACCCTGAATAAGGTTTCCGAGTGGCAGCTGGTGAGTTTGAACCACCAACCTTGTAGTTCAAAGGCTTTGCAGTCTGATGCATTAACCTGCAGTGCCACACCAGGACTTCTGCACCCAGTAGTGTCTTACATTTTTAAATAAAATTCTTTTTCTTTAAATATAATACCTTACCTGTTTTATCTGATCAGATTCTGGTATTTGTGCAGCCATATTCTTTTGGTATGCTTATTAGTCACCTGATTGAAAAAATAAAAAAAAAGTCAATGTATAAACAAGTATCTTTAGACTAACTGAAAAATGAAAAATTAGGTAATCAAAACAAGAATAGGTTATAAAATAGAATTGAAAGAAGTTATTGTTCCCATTTTACAAATTCCTGTGCATATAATTATATGCCAACCTCCCAGGTCATTAATAGTAATAGAACCTTAAAGTTTAGAATTCGTATTTTTAATGTTATTATGTCCTTGTGTGATTTAGACTTTTAATGTGCTCCGCTGCTAACTGAAAGGTTAAATAGTTGAACCTATGAAGAGGTGCCTTGGAAGAAAGGCACAGTGTCTCCTTCTGAAAAAAACCCAGCCATTGAAAACCCTGGGGAGCACAGTTCTACTCTGACACATTTAAAGTTGCCATGAGTCAAAAGTGCGTTGATGCTACTGTGGGATCCAAAAGCCCTGTTTTGTTCAACTTCAGTAATATCTCCAGTTCCAAGACAGTATGTACTACTTAAGGGAGCCGAAGATATCTGGGGCTTTCCTATAAGTTATGAATTAACTATCCCACTGGTTGCAAATGTGACTTGTGCTATCAAATAATCCTTTTTATAAGGAGCTCTGGTACAGGTATCTGTACCTGGACCAAGAAGCAGTTGTTTGAACAGAGCATGGGAACACTGAATGTTTTAAAATTGGGAAAGGTGTTTGACAAGGTTGTGTTCTTTCACCATACTTATTCAACCTGTATGCTGAGCAAATAATATGAGAAGCTGGGTTCTAAGAAGAAAAACGTGGCATCAGGATTGGAGGAAGACTCATTAACAACCTGCAATATGCAGATGATACAGCCTTGCTTGTTGAAAGTGAAGAGGATTTGAAACATTTACTGATGAAGATCAAAGAGCACAGACTTTGGTATGGATTACATCTCAATGTCAAGAAAACAAAAATCCTCACCACTGGACCAAAAAACAACATTCTTATCAACGGAGAAAAGATTGAAGTTGTCAAGGACTTCATTCTTCTTGGATCAACTGTCAACACTCGTGGAAGCAGCAGTCAAGAGATCAGACGACGTATTGCATTGGGCAAATCTGCTGCACAGGAACTTTTTAAAGTACTGAAGAGCAAAGATGTCAGCTTGAGGACTAAGGTACGCCTGACCCAAGCCAAGGTATTTTCAATCACCTCATATGGATGTGAAAGCTGGACAGTGAATAAGGAAGATTGTAGAAGCATTGATGCCTTTGAATTGTGTTGGAGGAGAATACTAAAAGTGCCATGGGCTGCCAAAAGAACCAACAGATCTATTTTGGAAGAAGTGCAGCCCAGAGTGCTCCTTTGAGGCCAAGATGGCTAAACTTCGTCTCTCATACTTTGGACATATTGTCAGGAGGGAACAGTTGCTGGAGAAGAATATCACCCTTGGTAAGATGGAGGGTCAGAGATTAAAGAGGAAGACCCCCAACGAGATGGATCAGCCAGGTGGCAGCATTGATGGACTCAAGTGTGGCAGCAGTAGTGAGGTTGGCCCAGGATTGGACACTTTCATTCTGCTGTGCATGGGGTCGCTATGAGTCGGTTCCGACTTGATGGCACCTGACAACAACAACAACTGGTAGCACAGTGGTTACAAATCGGGTCAGCAGTTCAAAACTACCAGCTGTTCTGTGGGAGAAAGATGAGGCTTTCTGCTCCTGTAAAGATTTACAGCCTCGAAAACTCTGCACAAGGGTTGATATGAATTGGAACTGACTCCACGGCACATAACAACATCAAATATAAAAGTTCTATTATTTGCTAACAAATATTGTCCACTTATAGATGGCACTTAACAACAACAACAACAAATACATCAACAACCCTCATGAGAAATACTTAAAGAGTTCAAAAAGGCTGCTATGAAACCACAGTAGTTGTGCATTCTGCAGTTCAGAGGGCAATCACAGAAACTTCTGAACTTAAGATATTTGTGATCAAACTTAGAGTTTGATCACAAAAAAGAAGGGAAGATGAGGATGTCAGAAAGCCTTTCTGAATTACTGGGATTTTCACATATCCTAAATGTTGGACCCAGGTTTAGTGGATCCAGATCTAAGAATATATCATATTATTTATTTATCCTGCCTAGTTCTAAAAAAGGATGAGCAGTCCCATAGAAAAGATTTGTATATAATGTTGTTACTTTAAGTGCTGTTAAGTCAGTTCTAACTCATGGCAACCCTATATAGGGTTTCCAAAGACCAGATGGTGGGTTTGAACCACCAACTTTGTGGTTAGCAGCCCAGTGCTAATCTTCCAGGACCAGATCAAGATTCTTATATATAATAAAGCTGTTTAAATTGAAATAAAAACTTAAGCAACCAATAAAACATTTATATGTATCTAAAAAAAAACCAACTTAAGCAGCACTTAAAAAGTAAGGAAATACTTACCACTGTACATTACAGACTTACAAAATTTTTATGAATGAGCATTATTTTAAACTTTCAGTTTCCCAGTTGTTGTTGTTAAGTGTCATAAGGTCAGTTCTGACTCTTAGCAACCCTGTATAGGGTTTCCGAGGAGCGGCTGATGAGTTTGAACTGCTGAGCTTGTGGTTTGCAGTCCAGTACTGATCCTACAGTGCCACACCGGGAATCCTCAGTTTCCTGATAGCTGTGAAGTGACCCTATCTATGTAGCATTTCCAAGGATAGGCTGGTGGGTTTGAACCACCTACCTTGTGGTTCAAACTAACCTTGGTCAATGCTTATCCTACAGAGCCATACCAGGACTCCAGTTTCCTGATAATCAGTCCAAACAAGAGAAACTGCATTGTGTTCATCCTTCTTATTGGCTTATTGCTGCCTTCTCCGCCTTTACATTTTCCTTCTTTCTCAGCTTTTTTCCTTATCCTAT